TGCTTGTGTGTGTGTGTGTGTGTGTGTGTGTGTGTTTATGGTGAGAACACTTAAAATCTACTCCCTTAGCAACTTGCAAGTATACAATGCAATATCGTTTACTATAGTAATCATACTGTACATTAGATTCCAGACCTCATTCATCTTATAACTCTAAGTTTGTAACCTTTGCCCAACATCTCCCCATTTCTCCCACCCCCTAGTCCCTGGTAACCATCATTCTATTTTCTGTTTCTATGAGTTTGACTTTTTTTAGATTGCACATATCTGTCTGGCTTATTTTACTTAGCATAATGTCCTCCAGGTTCATCCATAGTGTTGTAAAGGGCACGATTTCCTTATTTTTTATGGCTGAATAATATTCCACCATACATACATGTACATATGTGTGGTACGTATATATACCACATTTCCTTTATCCATTCATCTGTTGATGGACACTTTAAGTTGTTTCCAAATTGATTATTGTGAATAATGCTTCAATGAACATGGGAGTGCTATCTCTTTGAGATACTGATTTCATTTCCTTTGGATATATACCCAGAAGTGGGATTCTGGATCACATGATAATTCTATTTTTTTTTTTTATAAACCTGGAGAAGGTATCATATCATATTTTTTTTTAATTTTTAAAGATTTTTATTTATTTATTTGACAGAGAGGGAGAGACAGCGAGAGAGGGAATACAAGCAGGGGGAGTGGGAGAGGAAGAAGCAGGCCTCCCGCGGAGCAGGGAGACTGATGTGGGGCTCGATCCCAGGACTCTGGAATCATAACCCGAGCCGAAGGCAGATGCCCAATGACTGAGCCACCCAGGTGTCCCAATAATTCTATTTTTAATTTTTTGAGGAATCTCTGTGCTGTTTTCTTGAGTTAAATTGTTCTTTTAAAGGGGACTAGTGATGGGGCACCTGGGTGGCTCAGTCATTAGGCGTCTGCCTTTGGCTCAGGTCGTGGTCCCACGGTCCTTGGACCAAGCCCCACTTCGGGCTCCCTGCTTGGCGGGAAGCCTGCTTCTCCCTCTTTCACTTCCCCTGCTTGTGTTCCCTCTCTCGCTGTCTCTCTCTCGCTGTCAAATAAATAAATAAAATCTTTTAAAAAAATAAAGGGGACCAGTGAGGAACAGAAATTGCAGAAGGGCCTCAGGCATCCTGGAGATCCCCTGTCCACACCCCATAGTGGGGAGGTTACTTGCTGGTGACATGCTTATTTATTTATTTAGAGGGAGGGGGAGGGACAGAGGGAGTGGGACAGAGAGAATCTTAAGCAAGCTCCACGGCCAGTGTGGAGCCCAATGTGGGGCTCGATCTGACAGCTCTGAGATCATGACCTGAGCCAAAATCAAGAGTGGGATTTTAACCAACTGAGCCACCCAAGCACCCCTATTTATTTTTTATTTTTAGCCCCAGCTTGTCCTCTCCTGGAACATCCCTCCCTCCCACCTTACCTGGCTCACTCCTCTTTCATGGTCCCCCCTTTTTTTTAAATTTTATTTTATTATGTTATGTTAGTCACCATAAAATACATCATTAGTTTTTGATGTAGTGATCCACCATCCATTGTTTTCGTATAACATGTGGTGCTCCATGCAGTACGTGCCCTCCTTAATACCCATCACTGGGCTAATCCATCCCTCCACCGCTCTCCCCTCTAAAACCCTCAGTTTGTTTCTCAGAGTCCATAGTCTCTCATGGTTCATCTCTCCCTCCGATTTCCCCCCTTCATTTTTCCCTTCCTTCTCCTAATGTCCTCCATGCTATTCTTTATGTTCCACAAATAAGTGAAACCATATGATAATTGACTTTCTCAGCTTAACTTATTTCACTTAGCATAATCTCCTCTAGTCCCAGCCATGTTGATGTAAATGTTGGGTATACATCCTTTCTGATGGCT